TCTTTAGCACCAACACACACAGTGCGGGACAAAGCACAGGCGGGAGGCCCAGGTAGGCGTCCGAACCTGTGCAGGTACTTTAGAAGCCACACCTGCGACAGAAGGATGGTATTTTCTTAAAGGATCTCCATTTATGTACTTAAAACGGCTGATCTCCCTTGATCACAGGCTCCCATCCTTGACATTCTGCCGATTGTCTCGGGTCGCCTATTGCATTCCCAGTCTCCAATTTCTAATCCTTCGCTCCGTTGGCGTTTGGGGCCGAGGTCTGGAGCTGGGCTGCGCCCAATGGGCTCAATCGGAGACGAAGAAGGGGTTTATCTGGTCAGCCTGAGTGGATTCGACACCCGAGCAACACGATGGCCGAACGGGTCCCGCCAGGCCTGCCTCCTCCTTGGCCTCAAGGGACCCCCTTCTTCTTCTTCACAGCCCGAACGGAAAGAGTTGGAAACCCTTTCTCACTGTCCCTGGAAAGCCAGACCTTCCAAGAGGCTGGAGACGCCTGGCTTCCCTGTCAGAGGGGACTCCATCTTCCTGGTGCCAGGCTCTCTCCAGCTCCTCCCTGACCCTGCCACGATGCCCCACCCCACGGCCTGCCAGCTGGCCGACCTACCTGGCACAGGGGTGGCTCCGGGCAACCTTTCCGAGCTCCACGTCACTGTCAAAAGTCATCAGCTGCACCCCTTGGCTGGCGGCGTATCGGATCAAGGAGGCCGGCTTGCACGGGCTGGTGCACAGGATCCTCTCAGGCGCCACGCCCAGACGCTTCACCAGGGCCATCTCGGCCTGAAGGGTCGGGAGGAGAACAGGTCAGAAGGATGCGGCCGCCTGAGCCTCGGAGGGATGGGTAGGTGGGTAGGTGCCAAGGGGGCTCCGCACCCTCCCTCCCGGTTCTTCCTACCTTGCTGGCACAGCTGAAGCCAGCTCCCAGCCCCGCCAGCGTCTGCACCACCCCCTTGCTGCCGTTGCACTTCAGGGCGTAGAAAGGCTTGAGGCGCGGCAGGGCCTTGAGGAGGCGCACGTGTTTCTTCACCACCTCTTCCAGATCTGCCACGAAAAACGCGTCGCGGCTCCCCTGGAGATGCAGAAGAAGGGGGGAGTCAGCGGCGTCCCCAAAATATGTCTTCAAATACTCTCTGAGCCTCCTTCTCTAAGATCCACAGCTAAGGTGGCTTAACTCTAAGGCGGCCTCCCAGAGCCATCCTTAACATTAGAGAGAATTAACAGCAGAAGCAAGGGGGGCTTCAACGGTGGGTGGGCAGGTGGGGGGCCTCCTCCAGAGGTTTCCGGGGAACCCTTGGCCCTCCCTCTTCCCTGTAGGACAGGCCTGGTTCATCTCTGCCCATGCTATGGAAGGAACACCCCTTCTCTCTTGCATCGAGCCTCAAAAGAAGTTTTGGAACCAGCCCCATAACCACCCGGGGTGCCAGGTCGGGGGAGCTGAGGTCGGGGGAGCCTCTACTCCAGAGCCCTTCCCCGACCTCAGACACCCTTCGGAGATATGAAGGGAACCATTGCCTCTCAGTCTTCTGGTTTTGCTCTCTGAAGAGCTTCTTCCATCACTCCCCAGGCGTCCAGGTGTGCACACTAGCTTTCAAGCATAACTTCTTCACAAAGAGGTCTAGAAACTTGGTTGTTGGCGCCTTTCAAGAGCCAGAAGCCTCAGAGGCAGCAGGCAGCTCAACACCGGTCGCTAAGTGCAAGGCCGCTTCGTCCTGCCAATAGACTCCCCAAAGGCAACCGGGTTGGCCACTGGGGGGAGCCAGGATATGCTCTCGACCCCACCCACCGTCCCACCTCCCTCTTCCCAACACCCGGAAAGCCCACGGCTTCTGCCTTTGACCTTCTGAGACAACTCAAGGAGCAGGTTGTCCAGAAGATCCCTGGTGGTGAAGCCTTCATCCGCCATCATGATGTCCGATTCGTCCAAGCATCTGGTCATGGTTATTCCCGGAGGAGGAGGAGGAGGAGGAGGAGGAGATTGCTTCTAAAGCCTCTGTCTCTAGGGGGGTATAGTTTTTAAGTATGCAACACACTGCAGAAGGAAAGAGGAAGAGGAAGAGTTAAGAGGGGGCACCTTCTTAGTCCTTCCCAGTCAGCTGGCCTGCGGAGCATCCACCGGCCTTCCCACCATCCCTTCTTAGCTTCCGCCCCCTGCCTTTCCATTTTTAAGTCCTTTGGTCCTGAGCCAAGAAGGCTGTTTGCTTCCTGCCACCTTCTGCATGGCCCCCCATTCCCCCCCCCATTCCTTCTCGTTAAATGTTGAGCATCATGATGACGGGGAATGTTTCCCCTTGAACACCCTTTTTCCTTTAAAATCATAAGACCACTTACTTTCACAGCGGGTTAGGCGAATTCTTTCTTGGCTGTTTTAAGCTTTTTTTTAAACAAACAGAAAAACCCAGGGTCCCCCTTTGCCCCACAGAAACGCTGAACTGTACTTAATCTACTCATGCGCTGCTCACTGAGTTGTGACAATAAACACTTCTGGTCGCACACCTTGCTCCCAAACCAGAGGTGTGCAGATTTGTGAGTTTTGGACGATCGCTCCCAGCATTCTGGGATGTACCGTCCCAAAAGCCCCAAACTGCATGCCTCTGTGACGTGTGCGTGGGCCAGGCTGGTCCTGCAGAAAACGACAAAGCAGCCCATTGACAGGAAGAGGCGTCTTTGGCAAGAGAGGGTGCAAGCCCTGGCAGTGACTTCTGCTGTGAGGAAAGGGAGGTGACCAGGATAATTAAATGGCATGGCTTCTAACGCATTGCTTCTAGACTGTGTGCTTCATCTGGGATTCATTCATTCATTCAGAGGTGCCAGGCTACTGGCATTGGATCCACTGGCCTCCCGTCCCATAAACTCCCAGCCCGCTTGGATGACTGGCAGTCTGGCTCAATGGTCAGAGTGTTGGCATATGACTCCAGAAACTTGGGTTCAAAACCCTACTCAGCCCTGAAACTCACTGGGAGACCTTGGATCGGCCACGCTCTCTCAGCGTGGCCTCCCTTGTGGGGGATGCTGTGGGACAGAAAGAGCCACTGACACCACCTTGAGCTGAACAGAGGGCAGATTCATATCATAAACAGCTGGCCTTATTGTGCCATAATTTTTTTAAAAAAATATACCCAATAAAGATGTAAGAAATAAAACCATTGGCTCACTGCTGCCTGAATATACCACTTGGTGACCCTTCGAAATCTCTACAGCCATTCTGCAGAGCAGTGAGCGCCCAGGTACAGTATTTGAAGGCAAATAAATAGAGTGAGCTTCCCCCGTTCTTTAAATAGGTGTGGATAAACAGGTGATTAACATAAATATCTGAGCAGGGTTCCAACAAATATAGGTCACAACTTTGTCTATAAAGCTGCTTCTCTCTCGTGTGCGCGTACACACCCTGCAAGACACGGGGCCCTCAACCCACCTCCATGAGTCCTTTTAAGAGCCAACGGGAACCCAGGATGGGGGACAGAAGAGCCAAGCATCATTCCAGGTCAACCACCCCCACCGCCACCAAGAGGCTCTGATCTTGACTACGAGGGGCTCGGCCCCTTCCATCCCTCCAGGCAACCTGCTCCCCGCGGCCTTCCTTCTGCCCATCCCACCCCCCCCCTCCCTGTCGGAAGNCCTGTCCTCACCGACTCCCAAAGCCTTCCTCCTTCCCGGGGATGGTGGGGTGCTAGGTGTAATGCCAAGGAGGTTCTCCGGGGAACTCTGCGTTTGTGCAACACCCCGAGGCGCGGCTGCTGCTGGGGATCTGAGATCTCTGCAAAGGGAAGAGAGAAAAGGGGGTGGGGTGGGGAGGGGAAAAAAAGGTTTGCTGCGTTACTGAGGTACCAGGGAGTCCCCTTTTGCCATGGCCTGGGAAATTGTCGTGGGCATGGCTCGCCAGAGCCTTCCACCCACCATGCAGGACCTCCACCCACCTTAAAAAGCATTTAAACGGATTTTTCCCATGGGTCTCCCAAGAATAAATCTAGGCTTCAGCAGTGGCTCCTCCTCCTCCGCCTCCCCCCACTCCCAAGCCTACACCAAGCAAAGCAGCACCAGCTAATCTGAGCCTGGGAAGGAAGGAAGGAAGGACCGGCCCCTTATGAAGGCAGCCCTCCTCTCTGTCTCTGCTCACAAGGGTAGCCTTGGCAACCGAGCAGAGCCCTCTGATTGGCTGGGGAGGGATCAAAGAAAGCACACCCTCTCCATCCTCTGGTCTTCCTTTCATCTCCTGGGCATGTGTGTGTGTGTGTGTGCGCGCGCGCGCACGGAAGCTAGGAAGGGGTTAGTGGAAGGTAGGCCATTGTTTCGCCACCCCGCTGAATTGAACTAGATCAGAGCTAGCTCATCATCATCATCCCTTTATTGGCAAAATAAGTAGAGTAGAATAAAATAGTAAGTAGAGAACCAATAAACAGAATAAAATAAAATAATAAAGAACGTGTGTGTGTGTGTGCGCGCGCGCGCACGGAAGCTAGGAAGGGGTTAGTGGAAGGTAGGCCATTGTTTCGCCACCCCGCTGAATTGAACTAGATCAGAGCTAGCTCATCATCATCATCCCTTTATTGGCAAAATAAGTAGAGTAGAATAAAATAGTAAGTAGAGAACCAATAAACAGAATAAAATAAAATAATAAAGAACGAATAAACAAATATCCAAGTGTAAAGCCAACAATCAACTAAAGCCCAGTTGATGAGATTTGGGCAGCACTCCTTCTTCCTCTTCTTCTTCTTCTTCGGATAATCAATTTCAAGAAAATTGCCACTTTCTCCGATACATCAGCTAAATGTACCTTTTTCCCCCCCTCCAGATCTGCCCAGAGATACAGTACCTGAGCAAAACATTATACGACTCACTAATCATCCTGGCCTTGCAGCCCCAGCAAGAGATGGTGAAGCCAAGTGCAGGACTGCAGAACTGAAAAAAGTTACCTTTTTAGGGGAAGAAGGAACTATACTCTATATGTTCATCATCTCTGAATGATGCAAACCACCATTGTACTGTATACTCATTATTTTCAGCTTTAAATATTGCCTTTCAATGATTTAAGCCGCCTTGGGTCCTTTTTCATGAGGAAGGCAAGGGTAAAAAATATTTTAAATAAATCAAGAACAAATACATTTTAAACGTTTTAAGGTTTCTTTCTAGCTCCGCAGCTCCATCATCATCATCATCCATTTGTTGGCATTTCTTCACCAGAGCTCCCTTGGCAAACAACCCCAACCCACCCCCCTTTTTAAATCTTGTGCCTCAAGAGCCATGTAAGGCCTGGCCCAAGAAGAAAGCGGCGGGGGGGGGAAAGGAGGGAGAGAAAACGTTCCTTCTGGAGGGACTTCATTTCCCAGAATCCCCCGCGCAAGCCCAGCGCCTGAGGCAACCTCAACCTCCACCCAAAATCCTCTCTAGGGTCAGACTTCTGTGGGTAAACTCTTGGGGGCTTGGGCTATGTCAAACGAACAGAAGCAGCCATCATCATCATCATCATCACAATCATCCTCAAGAGACAACTCCACGCCCTTTCCCTGAATAAAGGCCCCGCCTTGAAGAGGCGAGGCCACGCCCCCTCCTCCCGCCGCCTCTCCGGCTGCGCAGGCGCAGCTCTTCCCTCCTTTCCCTTCCCCCCGTAGGCCTCCTCCCGAACGTGCGCAGGAAGTCCCGCCTCCCCCCCCTTTTTTTTCCTTCGAGGCTATTGGGCGGCGCGTGCGTCGGGCAGAGGCGGAAGCCAATAGAGAGGCGGACCTGTGCCCTTCCGGGGCGGCGTCGTGAAGTTGTTGAGGAGAGCGGAAGGAGGACGCGGCTGTTGGTGCTGCTGCTGCTGCGATGTCTCCCAGCGCGGAAGGCGGGCGAGAAGGGAGCCTGGGCCGCGGGGTCCGCAAAGGCATCCGCGCGGTGCTGCTAGGCCCGCCGGGGGCCGGGAAGGGCACTCAGGTGAGGGGGGGACCCAGGCGTCCGAGAGCGGGGCCTCCGCCTCCTCCTCCCTCCTGCCCCCTCCCTCCGCTTCCTCTCTCTCTCTCTTCCCCACCTCCTCTCCCTCCTCCCGCCCGTGGTCTTCTCAGGGACCCAGGAGTCCGGCGCGCCCAAGGACGCAGGAGGAACCCAGGCGTCCGGGAGCGGGGCGTCCCCTCCCCCCCTCCTCCCCATCAAGGCAGCGCCGATGTCTTCGAGATGCCCCGTGTCGTCCTTCTCCTCCTCCTCGATCCGTAGCCTTCCCTTCCCCTTTTCTCTTCCATCCTCCGAGGGAGGCCAGGCCAGGCTCAGGCGGCCTTTTGTGCGGGAGCGGCTCAGGGCCGCCCTTGAGGCTTTTCCTCCGAGGGAGGCCAGGCCGGGCTCAGGCGGCCTTTTGTGCGGGAGCGACTCAGGGCCGCCCTTGAGGCTTGGCCAAGTGGGGATTCGAACCCAGGCCTCCTGAGCCTCTTCCCCCCCCAGTTCAGAGCCCTAACCATTACACCTGCTGGCTCTTTCGAGACCAACGCGGGAAGTGCTCCCTTAAATGTTCCCGAAGGACGAAAAGGGGGGGTGCCTTTTCGCCCTGGCTTCTCTCCCCTCCCTCCCTCCCCTCCTTCCCACTTAAAGGACCCAGGCGTCCGGGACAGACCCCTTTCTTCCCTCCCCCCCAACTGCAGTGGCCTGTGGTTAGTGCAATAGGTTCACTTCTTTTGCACCTGAGAACTGCCAGGGGGCTGGCTGGTCACATGTGTGTTTCTGCTGTTGGCTTGTACTCCCGCTGTGGTGAAGAAGTTGAAGCCGCTGAGCTGAGGAAGACCTTTGTCCCGAAGAGAACCGGCTTCAATAAACCAGCAAGCACTTGGCTTGAGATATCCAGTACTGGCTCTTTGCCTACATCAGGAGGCAGATCTGTGATGTGGTGATATCCTGGGCCTGACTTGAAATCAGTCAGCAAAGAATTATCTCTACAATCCAACCATGGCAGGAAGAAAAAGGTTCACCCTTTTGCACCAGCTGCAAATTCTGTTCCAGAAACTCTGAGCCTTTGGGGTAATCGGAGCAGAAGCATTCATTTTGTATGGAGCAACAGTGAGGGTTGTCCAATTTCATCGATCCTTAAACTCCTCGGCTTGTCATTCTTAAACTCCGAAGCATTTCTGTGTTTGCTATTAGTTGCTTTGTTATTGGATCTGGGGGTTGGGATCCAAATAGATCTCGCACACCTGAAATCTATGTTCCTTTGGCTGTATATTGCCTCCGTCAATGTGGCTTGTGTGCTTTTAGTAACTGTGGCAAATGCATGATGTAGTATAAACCGGGAGACGGGTCCCTGATAAACCTGATGCTTTTTACAGTGCATTTTTTGAATAGCCTGTCTCAAAATTCTGGGAGTTTGGAGGCCAAACAAGGAAAGTTTCCACAGGCTGTGCATAGGTAAGAATTAGGAACTGAGGAAACCTCTGTCTCGCACACACACACAGAAAGAGACAAGAAGGCAAAGGGAAGCAGTTTGAGAGTGGCTGTTTTCTTCTTTCCCTATCTTCTGAGCAACCCCTGGCTGAGGAAAGATGTGTCACCCTCAACCCTTGCAACATCCACAAGCCGTTGCCCTTAAAGGCAACGACAGAAACAAGAACTTGAGGTGGGCAGGGTGTCTTCCTCACCCTCTTTTTCCCCTGATGAATTGCATGTGCTTCTGCTAAGGCAAACAGCCGCCTCCTCTTCATGGGTGGGGTGCCTTGGCATGCCTTAATCCTGCTGCCATGTTTTTTAAAACTACCATTTCTGGTGTAACTGGTTTTTATCTGCTTAATTTTTGTGCACCAATTTTCAGCTGTTTTGCTGTTACAGCAGTTTGAAAGCCAGGGAACACAGCAGGGCAGAGTGCCAGGAGAGAGTGGTGCTGCGTTGTAAGAAATAAGCCAAGTTGAATGTGAAGGGTCTGGTAAAAGCCCAGTTTCAAAGGAGGCTGCCCTCTCTCTTTCATTATATGCTGTGGTTCCTCCTTGGCTTCTTTGCCATCAGGTCCTCCTGGGGCAAAGCCGACTCGCCCTCGATCCCCATGTCTGCCTTGCATGCAAATTACTCTCCATAACATGAAAAAACCTTCCATTTCAAAGGGCTTTCCTTTGTGTCTCTGCCATGATTCATAGGACTTCCCTCCTTCTCAAAGCTCTTAAAAAATGCATGACTGAAAGAGTGAAGTGTCTACCAGGTTTTAAATGAAGGGGATGGAAAATGTGCTTGTGCTAACAAAGGGTGGGGGAACCCAGTACTGATGTACATCTAACTGAATGAAGCGATGGATGCTTGGAGGGAGAGGAGAAGTTAAGCTTGGAAGAACCGGCTAGAGTCATCTTTGCCTTCCCTGCAAAATGACTCATCCAGTAACATCAGCCACTGTTCTCTACAAGGTTAGTACAAAGAGCGTAGTTAGACACCTCTTGGACTCCTTCACAATAAGCCCATCACATGTCCTCTGTTACTGTAAATCACAAGGATCTCCAAGGTGAATGTATCCAAAATTGAGGGTCTTTTTCAAATACATCGCGAAGGGTTTGTCTCAAAAGTCCCTAGCAACTTCATGGTTTCATTCTGCTCTTTCCCCTTCAGGCTCCTCGGCTTGCCGAAACCTATTGCGTGTGTCACTTGGCAACGGGGGACATGCTGAGGGCCATGGTGGCTTCCGGCTCAGAGCTGGGGAAGAGACTGAAGGAGACCATGGATGCTGGCAAGTTGGTAGGTCTGGAGCAGCTTCTGCCCCTGAGCCATTCTTGTGGAGCTTATTTTGTTAATAGCAATGGTTTGGAAATTGCCTCCCTGTATTGATTGTGGTAGCTGCCAGCCCTTGGTTGGCGCTTGGGCAATATCTGTTGACCCTTCAATTAGTTCCCTGAAAATTGGAAACATGCAGCCAGGGAGGCGTGTTGGACATGCCCACTGGGTTTCTAAATGCAGCACAGAACCTTTGCAGACCTATCCATCCAGCCAATCTGGACCTGAATTTTGATTTACAAAACAATTATACAGAGGAAGGCTTGGTTTCTATGATTTTTGTTACATTCCAGTTACATTGGCTTTAAGTTTTAGGAGAGGGGTGACCTTCCTGGCTAGGGAGATGGGGTGTCTTTTCTTCTCCCTCTCAATATTTTTGATAATTCAATTTGCATTCTCTAATTACTGAGCAAAGTAGGTAGCCCCACTTTGACTTGCGGCAGGCTCAGAGGGCATATTTAGGGGTGAGATTTCTGCATGGCCTTATTTGAAGAAGAACCTAGATATATTGGAGTTCACAGTCAAGCTGAGAAGTGTATACAATGCGATCCCCTCATATTTTGTTGGACGGCATTTCCTGTCAGCAA